GAGCCACTAACTAACCAGCTCATCAGAGAATGACCTGTCAGCACTGCCAATATTTTCTTTAATGAGGTATCACTATGGTATTGGCATCTGGGGAATTGTTTGCCCATAGTGAGTCGGCACATAGTGGTGTCCAGGTCTGGGCTCCTAGAGCAGCTTATGCCAAGATTCTGCCCATACTTGCAGCTGGAGGCTTTGAGGGCTCCACGAATCACTTCCGTGGAACCATGGATGAAGTTGTAGCTTAACTTGCATGACTCATTCGCTTCTGAAACTTTTCTCCAGGCCACCAAGTCATTGCAGTACTCTTTGTCATTACCTGGACTGTCTCCTTTGGCGAAGGTATAATGTAATCTTCTGAAGGTCAATAATGAGGAAGACAAGATACCCCTGGACAAACTGAGGCTGGTATTTTTATAGAACAGAGTCAAGTTCATTAATACCTCAAGAGCCTGTTTTTCTTGGTCACTGTTTGCCAAGTCATACTTCATCTCTCCCCCTGAAGATTCCTCTTTAATTATCTCCATTATGTTTTCTGAAGCTCCTGTGAAAATCAAACCTAGGCTGAGTAGCAGCAGAGAGAAGGTCTCCATCTAGGATAATCTCTTCTGTAATAGAAATTTTAAAAAAGTAAAAGATGAAAATAAGCAGAATATTAATGAGATCGTTCTCTTTTCCTTATGGCAGTTAGTTCAGGGTTGACTCCAACATACAAGCTCGGGCTCCTTCAATGGAAGGATGATGGCATGAAAAGGTAATCAGCTATGGAATCTGCAGACCCAGCTTCAAATCTCTGCCTACCCACTCATAAACAATTTACTCTGCATCTTTTAACCTCAGTTTCCCCCATGTGATAAAAGGAAAGGTGAGATTTATTATATAAGGGAATGTGTTTAAAGTGCCCCAAACTAAGTAGTTAGCTCTCTCCCTTTTTCCCGTGTCTATAATCTCACTGGAAGGGTCTGTAACCCATATTGTGGTCTCAATAACCTCACCCAACACATTCCTTACTATTGCCAGGTCTCCTACCACCTCACACGGTACCTGGCACATGGCAGCCATTTAAAAACAACGCTCATTTCTTTTCCCACCCATCCTCAGTCATGGAATTCCTCTTTACCAGTTCCTTTGGCAAGTGGGTCCTACAGAGAAAGAATCCAGCTTGTCACAGGAGCATGAAGTGAAACTGTATTTGTTTCCTGAAAGTTTCTGCTATTGGTCTAGCTGAGGGAAGGAGGGGCAAGAAAGGGTAGGTAGAGTGGCATGAGACAGAAGGAGGGGACAACATAGAGACAAGGATGCTCAGAGAACTTCATAAATGAGCCTTTGGCTGCCAGAATCCCTGTGAAATGGCAGCATCACTGTTCCTTCTTCTGTGGAAACTTCCCTGTTTATCGTTTAACCCAGAGTGATTTGTTTTTAGCTTTTTTTGAAACCCTATAGCATTGATTACATCACACTTCATTTTATATGTTCTTTTTTTTTAGAGTTTTTTTTTTTTTAATTTGATGGAGATCACAAGTTGGCAGAGAGGCAGGCAGAGAGAGAGGGAAGCAGGCTCCCCGCTGAGGAGAGAGCCCAATACTGGGCTCGATCCCAGCACCCTGGGATCATGACCTGAGCCGAAGGCAGAGGCTTTAACCCACTGAGCCACCCCGGCGCCCTGCATTTTATATGTTCTTATGTACTTTTAAATTTTTTTTACTTCATTTTATATGTTCTTTTTAAAATTTTCACGTTGGTTGATATATGTAATTCTTTTATCCTTTTTAAGTATGAAAATTCCTTGAGCCTGGACCTTAGTTTCTGCATCTTTTTATTCTGTACAGAATCAAACACCGAACTGCAAAAATGCTTCTTAACATTTGTTAACAACATAACATGGCTTGACAAATGCAGAAAATCCTTTACTTGAGATCAGTGCTGGGAAATTCATAATGAAAATCTCAGAAAGAATGGTTATTCAGGGTGAGAATTCTTTCTCTTGATCTAGAAAGCATTTCTTTCATTCCCACCTCTAAGAGCCTCTATTTCCTTGTATCCCTGCATTATCACTTTTACCTCCTAACCACTTCTCCTTGCCCCTCCAATTCCCTGGATATACTACTTTTCTAAAAAGGGCACTTGAAATGACTATTTCAAAAGCCTTAAAATATTCGCATTGCCTGCTGGAGGTACTCTAACCCCCTGAGGTCACCTAGTCAAGGCTCTTCTTGATCTAATCTCAACCTGCTTCTCAGGGCTCTCTCCCATTATTTTGGTACACAAAGCTGCCCTACTCAAATCAGCGTGACCCACCGTTCTCTGAATACGCCCTGTTCTGTCTCTCCATTTTTGGTCCTTTCTTGGAAGCCTGCTCTTTTCTGCCTCTTGAAATCCTTCAAAGTCCAATTAAGTCATATTCTTTCTTTAACACATTTTTCACTAATTAAGTCTACCAAATCCATTGTTCACTTCCCTGGTCTTCTTATCACTCATTTCTTTCTTTTATTATTATTGAAGTATAGTTGACAGGCAATGTTATGTTAGTTTCAGATGTGCAACATATCGATTCTATAATTCTATATAATCATTCACTTCTTATGCCACTCATTTGACATGAACACAAATGGACTTGTATTTTTTATTATATTTAATTTTAAAATGTTCTGTGTGTGAAATTAGAGCAAAGACCCAGTACTAAAAATATATGAGCCTTAATAATTGGGGTTGATTAGATTATTGATAGATGATTAGGAATTAATGGATGTATTCATGTGTGTGACTTGAGCATAGACTTGCTGCAAGTTGAAGGGAGTAGGAAAGAAGGATTTAGATTTTTTTCCTAAATATCCTCTACTGTCAACATCAAGTGAGATGATAATAGAAAAACAGAAAGACAATGAGGAGAAAAATGAAAAGGAAAACAGTGCAGAGATTCTGCACTGAACTATTTTTCTGAAACATTTTTTCAAGTGCATAGAATTCACAGCTACCTGGGTTTGATTTGGACTACTAGGTGTCCATTTAAAAAAAAAAACCTTCTTGAACTACAAATGTCTAAGACATCGCAATTCATTTGAATTGGGTCTTGATCCCTATTGAATGAAAATATTCTGAGAATAAATTCCACTGGAGAGTCTCAGTTACTCACAACTTTGTGGGAATGCATTTATCTGCAAGATATTGTTTCTACTTAGAAGGAGAAAGGTTGAGGGAGGAAGGAAAGAAAAAGCAGCGGGAAGAAGAAAAGAGACAATAAAGCCTAGGGAGAGGTCCAGGAAAAGGAATCAGAATTTAAAACATAGAAACAGAGACTTTAAAGACTCATTTCAGCTACTTAAAAATTTTGCCCAAGAAATGATGGGGCTACAGGTCATATGCTAGGGACCACTTGATCCTGCTCAGCTTCCTTGGTGACATCCAAACGTCTACGAAGACAGCAATGACAGTGGGACTTCCCTGGAGAAATGGGTCTTGAGCAAGCCTTGCCTACTTACAAGGCTGCAAAGTGTCCTTTACTTGCAACTGTAAATGTCCTCCCTCTGTGAACTGAATCAATCGGTTAGATCTTGATGCTTGCAAAAGACAGAGTTAACAACTAGCATAGGTGTACCTCCTTTTCTGATCTGACCTTGAACTAAGTCCATATAAATAATGCAATAGTTGAAGTCTCTCGACTGAAAAGATAAGAACAGAAAGGGCCCTCTAAATCTTGTGCATTGCCTGTGTCCGCTCTAGGTCACTGTGTTTCTGACTCTCACAGGATGGAAATGTCATAGCTAAGAATCAATGACCCCATAATCTGGCACTTAGCTGCCAATTACCCCTTGTTTCTCACTACTCCTCTGTACTAACCCTCCCCTCCAACAAGGAGAAATGGAATTGTGGAGTAACAGGCCTGGAAACCTCAAAGACTAGCTAGTCCAAGCCCTTCACTTCCCAGGTGTGGGCATGCTCAGAGAAGAACAGGACTTAATCAAATCCCCGGAGCCTTTCCTTCTTTTCATGCTCTCCCCTCGCCTTCTAACTCTAAAGATGCCCTGCCCACAGCTGGATGTGGGAGAGCTAAACAACCAGCTCAGCTGTAAGATCTAAAAAGAGAAACAAGTTAGAAGTCTGGATGCAAGTTCTCTGTTTCTTCCAGGGATGCAGGAGGAGGGGCACTGAGCTCTGAGAGTTTCAATCTCGTCCTAGAAATCCTGATTTGCTACTCTCCAGTCTTTAAGGGACATGGTTTCTGACCAGTCAGGCAATCCTTCCCATCTCCCTTTCCCTTTCTTTCAAGGCACAGAGGCAGCTGCTGAATGGAAACAGATGCAGTTTGAATTATATGTGCCATCTTTAGAGAAGTCCCTAACTGCCTACTCCAAGTGCCTCAACACCTAGGATCAAGTGTGGGAGTACAACGCAATGAGAGGAGACACTCAACTCCAGATACAAAACTTAAGGGGGCTACCAAAAAGCCCCGTAATCAAGATAAATAACAATTTAATGCAATAGTTAAAAATCTTAATTTAATGCAAAATAACCTCTGATCAAGAATCTGACCCTGTACTGGCACAATTCACTAACACCCTAACTCCAACCCCGTCAGACTGGATCTTGACTTAAAACTTAGATATTTTATTCACCAGCGATTTCTGCATTAATTTTTTAAATTTGCGTATCTAGATTATTGGGATTTGGGGTGCCCCTTAAATTTTGAACCTGAAGTGAGTGCCTTGCTCGCTTTGCTCTAATCTCAGTTCTGCCTCAGATTCACTTTTGGCTCTCAACAAATGACCCAAAGAAAAGGGACAAGAAATTAAAACACATGCAGAGTTTATGATTTAATTCAGTAGTTTTTTTAATTAAAGCAGAATAAAAAGATTCCAGCTCAGCAATACTGGAAAGATAAATGAATTACTAACAGCTACCTAGTTCGCTCAAGGCATTATCCCAGGTCCACAGTTCAGGTGTGCCTTGGGGAGAGCAAGTACCACTGAGAGAGAAAAGAGAGGATCCCAGGCGCTGCTCTCAACTTACTCAACATACCTCTGGAGACTAACTGGCCCCATGTCATCACAAGTGACCATGATGAACCCCTTTATGGAGGATACGCTGTACCTGCAGGCAGGATATCTAGTGCCTCCAATGAGCCCACACACAGTCATTTTGAACTTGGTCATGCTCTGGTAACATAAAATGGAAGAATGGTTCTGACAAATCCTCTTCTTGGAAGAGGCGCAGACCTTATTGATATTTCTAGGCCTCTCGTGGATGAAAACGTGCTCCGTCTTGCAGGTGTTGTCAGGTCCCCTGATGACTCTTTGCAAGACCATGTGGTTGCAGTACCGTACGGGAATGTCACTCTGAGGGTAGTCTACATGCAGCTGCTCCATGGTTGGCCCCTCTCCTTTCTCATTCAGCTCATTCTCCCAGAACAGAAGCAGCAGAAAAATGACCACCATTAGGATCATCAGGGGTAAGAGTCCCTTCACATCTTCTGCTCTAACTCCTATAGAGTAAGAAGAGACAGGACATAACCAAGGGTAATCAGATTCCTCAAGCCCCAGCCCATGATTTGCTCCCCCACACTTGAGATATTTTACTTCCTTCTCTCTGCTAATTGAAAGCTCATGTGAGGAGCGCCTGGTTGGCTCTGTCGGTTAAGCATCTGCCTTCAGCTCAGGTCATAATCCCAGGGTCTGGGGATCAAGCCCTGCACTGCAGTGGGCTCCCTGCTCAGTGGGGAGCCTGCTTCTCCCTCTCCTCTTCCCCTGCTTGTGCTCTCGCTCTCTCTCTCTGTCAAATAACTAACCAACTAAACAAATAAAATCTTTAAAAATGGTAAATAAAATCTCAAGTGACCCTGCAAGCTCCAGCTAGAGGTACAGTTCCTCACGAAAGCCCTTTTGGACTACTTCAGCTCTCCAAGTCTGGCACTGAACTGTTCTCTGATCAGTCTGTTGTGTTGTATTTGTTTTACTTCTGCAAGCTCCTTGAGAGCTCCTGTTTCTCTTGAATCCATCAGAGTGCTTACCACAGAGCCAAACATGTAGAAGGATGCTCAGAAGTACCCATGCCTGATTGTTTTTTTCCTATTGCCAAATGACTTCCTCTCCCATAATTGTATCAACACTAATTCTATCCAATTCCACATGTTTTCAGCACTGTCTACCAATCTGTTCTTCCCAGTTCTTCCCAATCTCTCCTACTAGGCTAGTTCCTCTCACCTGTTGTTTTTGCTGTAGTTCTCACTGGTAACATATCCTTGTGATCATGGATCTGAGAAAGTCCTAGCTGTTCCTTGACAATAATGGGTAGGCAGCCAGTTGGGTGTGGGGAGGGCCAGAATATAAAGAGGGAGGAGCCTGGGGGGAGTGTGCTTGGGTGCCACTGGGAAGGACAACAAGGTACCTTCAGAGGGAGAGTTGACTAAGGAAGGTCCTAAATGTGTCCTCATTAAATAAGCGTGAACTTTCCCAAATGTTTATTAAGGTCCTGATGTGTGTCAGACACAGAATCCTCTGTTTTCCAGATTTTCAGTTAGTCCTTACTACAAACCCATGAAGTACCTATTACCCCCATTTCATTAAAGAAGAGATGAGTTGCAGAGAGCTTGAGGCAGAGAGGGAGCTGGCGACAGTAGCAAGAGTCTCACCCTCTCAATACTTCACACTTGAACACCAAGTTCTAGCAAGTGTCATTCCCATAAGGTGTCCAGGATAGGACAGAAACAACTCCCTGATGTTAACATTAGTCTTGATAAAGCCCTGGACTGCTGGGGGTGGGGGTGGCAATGGTTTCTAAACCCTGCTGAACATTGGAATCCCCTGTGCAGTTCTCAATGCCACCTTGAGACATTCTGCTTTAATTGATGTTGGGTGTGACCTGAGTTTGAGATTAGTAAAAGCTCCCTGAGTAATTCTAATATGGAGCAAAATCTGGGAATCACTCCCCTATGGTATTTTTGGGAAACTGACATGGGAAACAAGCAGACGAGGGTTTGGTGAAAGACAGTGTCATAAGGCATTGAGAAAATAGAAGACTTTTTATTGCTATCATCTCCTGGTCATTTGATACAGAAATGGGAAAATGGACTTATTTTTACTACTTCTTGCCCTGAAATGATTTCTCTTTAGGAGAGACAGCTACAACCAGGTGGTGGGTATTAGAGAGGGCTCGGATTGCATGGAGCACTGGGTGTGGTACAAAAACGATGAATACTGTTATGCTGAAAATAAATTTAAAAAAAATGAAAAAAAAAAAAAAAAGGAGAGACAGTTACATATTCTCTCCTGTGCATTGGTGTCTTTCTAACTGGTAAGAAGAAAAGGATTTTGGGGTGGAAAATACTGGAAAAGGCTTCAAAGAATGGGGTCTCTTTCTGTATAACAACAAAAGCATAATTCCAGAGCATGAAAATGAACAACGAGGAGGTTATTATTTACTTTCCAAATGTACATAATGGGCATCATTTCAGAATTCAAACCGTCCTGTTCGGGGTGTGGGTTGCCCAGTGCCACCAAGACATAAATGCATTAATTAATTGTTTCTAGTGAACAAATTTTGATTCACACACTATTTGCAGAAACATTTCCACTGTATAAAGAGAAATATATATACATATTATAACATGTTCAATATATCCTGCTTAGACTTCCAAGTAGCTGAATTACGGATGGTATGTTAAGTTTACAAACCCGAAGGCAATATTTGTCACAAAATTTATCCTCATCTGAGGCAGCTGAACCTGTCTGTACATTTCAGAAAATTACCCTGTAGAAATTGAACTGAGACTGGGTTCAATTGTTCAATAGTGTTGGCACCCTGGGAGAAAATATTTGTAATGCCTAAAACCAATTAAGAGTTAAAATCTAGGGGGCACCTGGGTGGTTCAGTGGGTTAAGCCTCTGCCTTCGGCTCAGGTCATGATCTCAGGGTCCTGGGATGGAGCCCTGCATCCGGATCTCTGCTCGGGGAGGAGCCTGCTTCCCCCCCATCCCCCACCCCCTGTCTGCCTCTATGCGTACTTGTGATTACTCTCTCTGTCAAATAAATAAATAAAATCGTTAAAAAAAAAAGAGTTAACATCTAGATATAACGGACTCACTCGTGTCAGCAATAAAAAGGAAACTTCAAGGACGTCTGCATGGCTCAGCGAGTTAAGCCTAAGGTCATGATCTCAGGGTCCTGGGATCAAGCCACACATCAGGCTCCCTACTCAGCAGGGAGTCTGTTTCTCCCTCTCCCTCTGCCTGCTACTCCCCCTGCTTGTATTTGCTTTCTCTCTATCAAATAAATAAATAAATAAGATCTTTAAAAAAAAATTAACAGAGAAGGAAAAAACTCAAAAACAATGAAAAGCCAATTTGAGAAGAGAAAGCCAGAATTGATGAACGATGCTCAACTTCATTAGTAATCAAATTAATGGGAATTAAGATAACCAATAGATATCAGTTCATAACCATCAGATTGCCAAAAATGAGAAATCTTACATCAAGTGCTGGTAAAAATGTTAGTGGCCATGAAAATCGGTGTGGTGATGCTGGAAAATAATTTGGAAGTATTTGGTGAAATGAAGAATGGGTATACCCTGAGCCCTTGTGAGTTCTTCCAGATGGAGCACATGGAAGGATATTCATTCCAGCACTATTGGTGGCCAAACAGGACTGGAGGCAACTTAAGTGTCCCCCAGTAAAGAAGCACTGGATACATAAAATAAAATAGTATGAAGCAGTTTCAAATAATGCACTAGATTTACAAATAGCAACATGGATAGAATTCAAAAACATGGTACTGTGTAAAAAACAGTAAGAAACAGAATGAAAATTCTTTCCAGTTTATTTAAATTTAAAACATACATGCTCCAAAATAAGACAACGAATTTCCCAAGGTTTCACAGTATCTAAATAGGATGGAAGAACATGGATTAAATACTCTAGCATAGGTGCCTAGGAGGGTGAGAGGAATAGAAGCAGGCTCAAGGAATAAGAGGGGAAATAATAAAATTGAATAGAACAAAAGAGAAGCCTAGCATGGGCTGTAAATGGACTAGGACATACCCAATTCCTGAAAAGGAGGAGGGAGGGAGAAAGAAGGAAAGATGGAGGGAAGGGGGCAAGAGGAGGAGGAGGAGGAGGGGAGGAGCAGGAGGAGGAAGAAAAAGAAAGGAAGGAGTTGTGGGGGTGGGGAAGTGAGATGAGGAGGGGAGGAGGGGTGGGAGAAGAGAGGGAGGAAGATGAAAAAGATTAAGAAGAAAGGAAGGAGGGGCCCCTGGGGGGCTCAGGTCAGGATCCCAGGGTCCTGGGAACAAGGCCCACATTTGGCTCCCCGCTCAGTGGGAAGCCTGCTTCTTCTCCCTCTCCCACTCCCCCTGCTTGTGTTCCCTCTCTCGCTGTGTCTCTGTGTCTTATTTATAAATAAATAAAATCTTAAACAAACAAAAAAAAAAAAAGAGGAAAGGGAAAGAGAAATCGGCTCTGTTTTTAGATGCCTGCCATTGTCCTAAAACTCTTCTCCATACCCTGACCACCCCCCACTTTGTTGAACCTTAGGACAATGCACAGGGCACTAGAGGAGCCACATAGCTGCTGGAAACGAAAATTCATGTTAGGCTGTAAAACATCATTATTACTCATTTCATCACATGAATAAGCTGCCTTACAGAGTGGCCAGGGAACTCCCCAGCTCCAGCCTCTGGTGACAGCAGGCAGCCATCTCCGCCTCCGAGCGACAGCAGAGGAAGAGAACACATACGCTGGGTGCCTCCAGCTGTCCTGTGTTGAGGCCCCCACACGGAGAGGACGCGTGGCTAGGGAGAAATGCTCTGAGAGCTCCCGGGTTCCGTTCTGCTACAAGAAGCTGCAGAGGTTGTTCATGTCCTGTGGATGTGCTTGGACACCCTTGCAAGGCCTCTGCAGTCACCCGATGCTGTGCTCAACTTAAGGCAATGTAGCAGATGGTGTTTTCCAAACATGGCCACAAAATTAAGAGGTAGCGTCCACATGCTTTACTGAGAACCTAGGTGGGCCTCTGTGCCTGCTCCCACTAAGGTAATATAGTGCAAAGGGTCCTGTGTGACTTCTGAGACTAGGTCATCTAGCTTCTGTCTGGCTGTGGCTCTCTTGGGACGTTTGCTCCAGGTGCCTTCAGCGCCTGTGTATGAAGTCTAGCAATGTTGAGGCTACCGCCTGGAGATACCACTTGGGTAGAAAGAGATGCCCAGGTTGCCGCACCCGTTCCAGTTCCCTGATGCTTTAATCTTCTCAGCCCCGATGCCAGACTGCTGAATGGAAAAACCTACGCAATCAACCAACTCTGGCCGTCACGTGAATAAAAAACAGGCAAGACCTCAAAGAAGAACTGTCCAGCTGAGCTCAGTCAGCCTCCAGATTCAGGATCCACCTAATTGTTCCTATTTTCCGTCACTGTTTTAAGGTGATTGTGAAGCAGCAGTAGATAAGCAGAGCACAGGACTCGCCACTTCGCTAAATCCCCCAAAGCAAATCCAATCCCACAAAGGTTAAGGAAGTAATAGCTACCACTGAAGTATTCCTGGATACGGAGTATAGGTTCTCACACAAACAGTAAAGCAAAATTAGTTTTATTTATTTTTTAAAGATTTTATTTATTTCTGAGAGAGAGGGGGAGAGCACAAGCAGGGGTGGGGGGAGACAGGCAGAGGGAGAGGGAGATGCAGACTCCCCGCTGAGCCAGGAGCCTGATTCAGGGCTCAATTCCAAGACCCTGAAATGCTTGCTGGACTGAGTCACCCAGGCACCCTGCAAAACTAGTTTTAAAATCTCCATCTGATGTGAAACTCCTTAAGGTTTCTTTTTAACTCTCCAACTCTCTCCATCCCTGCCCGGAGAGCCTCCCCTGTTTTATGGGCTAGCTCACAAGGTCTCCCGGATTCCACCAGCCCCCCATGCCCCCTACCTGCCCATCAATCACCTTGTGACCAAATAAAGACCCTTCCTGATCATCCAGTCACTTAAAAAAATCAGTGAAGTCCTATAAGTAAATATTTTGCTACCTAGTGGCTATGAATCTTACTCTACAAACATGGGCAAGAAATTTACATTTCTTAACTGCTTCTGTGTCAAATTGAAATAAATTCTAAGTCTTCTAGCCTACTAAACTGGGGAGAAATTCAACTTACACCATCATTAAGTTTCCTCTTCCTCCCTAGCTAGGAGTCCCTGAGAATCTGGAAGGCATGCTATTCTTACTGCTTCCCACTATGGGACCTGTATTGGCCAACA